CCCAGCGCAGGCAGCACGGCCTTGGTCACAAGCCAAAAAGCGCTTTGTCAGACACTCAGCTGGGCACTAGACCACAGGAACTACCTGCACCAAGAGGCTTTGTTTGCTTCTGCTGTCATCACGGAGCAGATTAATGGGAGAAAAAAGAGTGGAAAGAAGCTCTCGCGCCAGCAGCTGCACCCCATGAGCAGCCCCTTGCACACGTGTGGCACCTGCAAGTAAAATGTGCTGGGAAACGGGAGCGGTGCTGCGAGCTGCGGCGATGCGAGGGGTGTCCGAGGGGACGTGGCTGCCGGAGCGGGGCTCTGCGTTTCATCACGCATGCTCCTACTTTAGCCTGAAGAATTTTTGGGGGGTTGCCTACCCATAGTAATCGTACATAAAGCACAATTCCTGTATTTTTTTTCCCTCCTGCTATTTTTGTCCTTTTTCATCATGGATAAATTAGCACGAAGGAAGTTGATGGGGCTAAATAGTTCCAAGAAGTGTTAAGGTCTCTGCTTGGAACTCTGTAATCCAGTCAGATTGCTCTATTTTTGCTGCTTATATTTTAAAAACTCTTCATTCATAGCACCTAATCCTTTATTTCTTCTTTTTGTTTTCTTTTTCAGCCTATAGGGAAAACATAATTCCACATAACTGGGACATAGAAGCTTGCGATGGAAATTACATATGGTTGCAAAAAAAGTTTTGCCTTGAATGGAAACATATTCAACAGAACAGTAGCCATGGCAAGATCTGTAGGGAGACATACATAAAACGTGAATTTAGCAACAAAATGTAATCACCATAATACATATAATATCAGGAACCAACCTACCTAGCTGCTTTCTCCCACACTTGTGTAGAACAAGGAACAGCTCCACAATTCATATACCAAGCTGGAAACTGGAAACAGTGCTTGTGGAAAGATGTTTTGTCATCAAAGCCAGGCAGAGTCATACAGCTCCACTCTCAGACAACTTCCCCCTCATGCCTAATGGCTACAAACACCATCATCAAAATGTGCCTCATAGCTCAGGCTCCCATGCATTGGTGGCAACTTGAAGACAGGTTTGCTTGGTAACTACAAATATTAAATAGTTTTGGCCAGTGGCAAATAAAACTTTTTTATATGCACTGATATTCAGCACTAAAGGTCAAACTATTATCAGAAAAACTAACTTATCTCATTTCCTAGGAAGATGGAGTCTGGACACGTTTAGAGACAAGATGCGTGGCTTCTGTAAAGATGTGGAAAAATACTCTGTCATATAGTCAAGAACTGATTAAGAGGTGGTATTGTCACTATCTGGACAGTGTCTCACCCATCTCTGTTCCCACCTGGACGCATGGTAACTGCAACTCTTCCATGACGTGCATTACTCACACCGCAGAGTCCACTGCCATCAGCAAGATGCTCCAAACATTTGCACTCTCCCTTCACTCAAGATCTCTGTAGAAGATGAATGGCAGAATTAGGAAAAAAAAGCCCTTTGACTTCCTGGCTGTTAGTCTGAATCTGGGATAACGTTCTCTCAGTTGCCTGTGCCCACTTACTCTACAGCTATGCCTGAGATGAGTAAATGAGGCAGGTAAAACTCGCTGAACATCAGATGTTTTGTACTGGAAATGAAATCCAGCTTTTGTGGCTCATCTATTTCATTTCTTGATTTTGTTGTTGTTGTTGTTGTTGTTTTCTAGGCAGGTTTAGGCCTTCTCTGCGTGGAAACCTCAAGGGGAAACCAGGGGTTAGTTTTCAGTCAGCAGAGCCTTTTTTCAGAAACTCCCATAGATGTCCCTTTAAAATGAGGCAATAGCAAAAACCATAAGCTGGGAAGTAAATCCTGAGTCTTTTCCCAAGCTGTCTGCCTCTGTTAGGATCTCCTATTGTTTAGTTTTATTTTTCTGGTAATTCACTGGCAGATGACTCCAACACAGATCAATCAAAAAAATTAGGTTAAAAAGTCCAGTGTATCTAGAAGATGGCTCATCTCTGTAGATGAAACAAACCACCTCTACCTTCTCTTTTGAATAAATTCAGATTTTAACTGAAGTGGCCTGGCTTACTTCCAGTTTACAGTAATTCTATTCCACTTACCTGAAATTCTCCTTTTCATACTACTCTGATGAACTGTTTGCAATCTCTCAACTGCCTGCAATGGCTGCAAAGTGCTGCAGGAGCAAGAGTGGTTCTGGCAGGGGCAAGTAAAGTGATTTCTTTGTAGGCAGTGATAAAATTTCCAAGTGCATCCTCCACTCACACAAATCTGTTTCCCTATAAGAAACGGAATTTCTACAGGCTCTGATGGGAGCTGAATTAAGCAGACATAGGTGCTTTTGTATATCCCAATGCTTCCCCAGCATATTCTGTATTGATACATTGAAGGCACTTAGATTATTAGTTGGCTAGAAAGACAGAATTTATACACAAGGAAAAAAAAACTTATGCTGGAACCCTAAAAATCAGTATTATTAAATGAAAACAATGAGGTTATATGATGAAGGCAATTTTATTTTCACCATAATGGTTTGTTTCTAGTTTCCTTTGATGCCATATTTTGCCTAATGTTTTTCTGGAAGAGAAGTAGCTTGAAATCTCCTGTGAAAGAGAAGGAGCAGAGCGCTGAAGTTAAAAATGTTCCTTGTACTTCAAGTAGTGTTTTGGTACAGCTGTTTGGCAAGCACCGTAAATACTTACTGCATTTTATTTCAAGGCTCAGAGGCTTCTTTTATAACCTTTTCTCCTTTATTGCTCCAAAACAGCAGCAAAACCCAACACTTTCCTATCCATATACAATGTGTTACTAACTGAATCCAGCCTGGAAACTCCTGTGGGATGTCCGTGTCTTCCGAACATCCTAACCTTTTGCGCTGAGCTGGAAAGTGGAAGCCACCTTCCACTTTATTGTAGCAGCATTTTAATGAGTAGGAGAAGTTTCTTACCCTTACACCCATAGGCTGAGTGTGAATTTATTTTATACTGTTTAGGTACTTTGCAACCTGTCAACAAAGAAATGTCATAAATATGAAGTGTCATCCCATAAAATCATACTCTTTAAAGTGGCAGTTTGGGATCTTGTTCATGAACTGGTGTGCTCTTCCAGTACAAAAGTGGTAAGTGGAACTGATTCTTAATTAAAAGAGTAAGAAATTAAATGACTGTAAGTATCTTATTCATCAAAAGACTGAGACTGATCTTCTGCATATAGAAGAAAAAACCCAAAGTATTCTCCAAATGATTTGAGAAGCTGACAAATAAGAGGTTTATTAATCAGTGTGGTCTAACCTCATTTAACGGGAAGAAGTGAGGGGGTTTTGCTAACACATGAAACTGGGACCCAAAGGTGACATGTATTTTTCATACTTTGTGGATGGATCTGCACCTCTTGCTTTGTTTCAGAGGATGAGGATGCAGCTAGATATTCCTGAACAGCTTGCTTCTGTTCCAAAGTAATTCCTAAAATAGGGCACAAGCCAAAATGCAAGTGAAATTAATGTTATTTTAAAATAAGTTATCCTGTCTAATAAAAGGTAGAACTTTTCTCTTATTCAGCAGTGGAAGATGTCCTGATTTACAGTTCAGATACAATTGACAGCTTCATTTCACATCATTCTTTTTCCTCATCAGTGAATATCTGAATCACACACTGAAAAAAAGCAACTGTAGACCTCTTCTATAAACCCACTTACAAGCAGGTGGTGCAGACAAATTGAAGAAATAAGCCTTGCTTTCTCCTGTTTTTCTAACAGAATTTTTTTTTCCCCCCAAGAAACCTTCATCCAAGCACCCAAAGCACTTCATCAAATGGAATTTAAACACTTATCTGGTTTTGGAAGCCCCATGCGTGAAATTGTTGGGATGATTACCCTACGCTTTGTATCTACCCATCTATAAAATGCTACCTCCCCCCATCTCATATACACCCACACTCAACCCTTCTTCTTTCCCCTCCAAACTCAAAACCAATAGAAAACCAGTTTGGTTTCTGGCACTGGCATTATCTGGCAGCATTGCTCCACGAATGGTTAGAAGCCAAACAAATATGTATTTAACGGGAATTATGAAAATCAAAAGTACAAGGTTCAACTATTTGAAAAGCACCTTCTTCCTCCACATCAAAGGGCTCACTGATTTCTTGCTGAAGTTCTGACCAAAGTGAAGCTAAATGGGTGAAAGGAGGGGAGAAAAAGAAAAAATCTAATCTTAGGAGCTATGTCAAGCAAGTACTTTATGGCTCATCCAAAGCTGATCATGAGACAACTCCTAAATGTAAATATGATTTGTCTGGCAAATGTGAGGAATCTGTCCAAGCATATTCTCCAATAATTATTTTCCTTTGCTGTCTTTTGTGTGTCCTCAAACTTTGTATTCCTTGAAATCCCAAACATCTATTCACATTAATAAGGTGTTAGGGCATTTGACCAGGAAGACTGGCTCTGTTGATTTCAGCACTTAAATACGGAAACCACTCTTGTTGTTTTAACCACTTCAACTCTCATCATCTCAGTTTATTTTCTTATCCTATTTAACTTCTGTTCAAAATCAAACAGGAAGCAATTAAGGTGAGCCTACTACAAAGCAGCCCTCAAAATATGTAGCCCAGTCCTTACTGCAGAATGAAGGTCATGCCCCGAAAATGCAATTATTCATATTTGTAAGGAATGCAGAGCCCATATGCTAAGGTAAAAATACAACACCTCAGCTTTACTTTCAGCAGACATATGACTACGGCCAAGACAGACATTGATACAACCCCCTTCACGGAGGCACTGGTGGCAACACTGGTTGAACCGACAAAGCACATTAGACCAATGATTTTATCTACTCGAATTAATAGAAGTGGGGAGGAAGAAACCCAACTCCCTCCTAAGCTCCAAAACTACAATCATTTCCTCTCACCTAACTCCCTTTTTACTTTTGTCAGCTCACTGCTATGACAAGAGGGATGCCATAGAAATAAGCATCTAATGGACAACAGTGGGAGACAAAGCAAAGTCTTTACACAGGATTTAGCTAATTATATTTTGGGCAAATATTTATTTATCTAAAAACAAAATAAAAATCATTTTAAAAAGAAAAATGTATTTAAATAAAAAACAAAATTGTGAAATGTTATGGCACAGAAGTTCAAGACAAGTATAAATCCAGTTGCCACAACTGTTGCGTATTAATGTTGCACATTTTTCTATAAAGGCTTTATTAAAGGTATTTACATGGCAATAAGATGTGTAAATATATACAGCATTCTGGGGACAACTTTTTTTTTTTTTTGATTCTCATATGAAAAAATGCCTTAAATACAAAATTCTAAAAGAAAAAAAGTTGAAGAGTTCATCCCCAAGCATGAAGAATGTCCCATCATCCCTTATGTCCAAAGTATCAATTATGAGGCAGTTTTGAGGTTCTGGCCAAACCCTTGGGAGATTCAGCCAAGGTTGTGTAGTCTCAAGTTAAGTCGCACAGCATGCAGTTGCAATAGTTCCATACGCGATGGACTGGTGTAGTTCATGAATGATATTAGAAACGTTAATATTTTATCATATTTTCAGTCTAGTCTGGGTTATTCTAAGCAATGCCCAAGAGTTCCTACGCACAAGAGTTCCTTAGCTGCTCGAGTTTGTGTTTCAACTGTTCTCTCCTCCTCCGCAACTGTTCTTTCTCTGCGATCAGTCTGTGTTCATCTGACTGGATGGAAAGAACGTACTCTGTTGCTTTTTTCAGGATGACAACCTTGGGTGCCTTTTCATTGTTGGCCACCTCAGGTATCTGGTCACGCAAGGCAAAGAAACTCAACTTCAGCTCGTTTCTCCTCTGGCGCTCCAAGACATTGTGTGTTCGCCTCTTGTCGTTCTCTTCCGAATCTGATGTGCGGGGACTCGAGCATTTTCGGTTGTTGCTGATCTGTTTGAGAACTCTGCCACTGTCCAACTTTAGCCTTTTTGCAGCTGGGTATTCAACCTTGGTGGAGGGAGGAGCGGCGTAATTGTGCTGATGGATGTTGACGTGACACCGTTTGAGAACCAGCGGGCTGTGGTGGGGCTTACTGTGCTCCTCTGATGTGTCGGTGCTGGACTCTGTGCTGGATTCAGATTCATTTGCTTCAGCTAATGTAACGACATCGATTTCCTCATCTTCCTCTTGTTCTTCTTCTGCAAGGGGGAAAAAAATTAATATTCATAAGCTGATCTGTGCAAATACTCTCAAGACCATTGTGTTTATAAGGGAAGGGTACTCCTGAGCTGCACGAGGAACCTATTGCCCAAACCCTCCTTAAACCCATTTGATACTTCTGGACTCCGCTTCCCCCAAGAGCCTTTCCTTTAAGGAAGCAAGGCTTCAAGTGCAATAACACACACGGACCGCGCTCCAAACCCCGGCTCCCTGATTTCAAAAGTTGCGAGATCTTGCGTAATTCCGAGGAGCGCATGAAAGATAGAAGTTCAACCTCGGTTGTCAGCAGTACAGCGCAATAAAGCTCCCAGACTCAAGCTGCCCTTAATTAAGGATTTAGAAGGCTTTGGCCACGCCTCAAAAGAAAGCTTACTTAACACACATGTGTATTCAGAGACATTTTCTGAATCTCTCTTGATCTGCTAATTTGTGGAAAATCCAAGGGAGGGGAGGAGGGGGAAAAAAAAAAAAAAGGCAGGCTGTAGCGCTTTGAGTAGAAACTCACTTTCAAACCAAATTTATGAGGGAGCGGAACACGCTGTCAAATACCTAAGGAAGCATTTCTAAAACTTTCCCAGCCCCATTCACTCCTCTGCAGTCACTTTCACTAGCGCCTCCCTGACTGCACATTCCCCCCGCGGCCCTCGGGCGGGAGTTAACCCCTTCCCGGCCCACCAGGGTGGCACCCCGCGCTGCTGACCCCCGGTGAAAGTTCCTCTCTCCCCCGCTCCCTTCTCCCCTCCACCCCCGGAGGGAAATCTGGGCTGGTTCTCCAGGAAATAAATCCGCCGGGAGTCTCTCCGCGCCGCGCTAACGTGGCATTTCGAAGGGCCCACGCGGATAGGGGGGGGTGTGAGGCGGGC